GTTTTACTTACTTTTATTTTATTTAATTATTTGTTATTATGGCTGCGCTCTCTCTGCTCTTTGATCTCTTTCTCTCTATTCTGGATGTAGTTGGGTGACTTCTTGATTGAATTTTGGCTGACTTCTTCGAAATTTTCTTCTCTGATGCTTCCTTCAGCACTCACTCACTGGTAGCCACTTTTTATTAGACACTTCTTGGTACTCACTCCACTACCCTGCTCCAGTCTTGTACAGAGCTTTTTATAAGCAGTGGGTGGTTGGGTGGAAATCCCTTTCCTGAAGCCCATGAAGCGATAACGGCCAAATTTTGTATTGGTGGGAAATTTTCTAATCATATCTAGGATTTCTTTATTGATCTGTGGGCGTGAATTTTCAGAGAGAGAAAGGGCGGTCCTCTTTTAACTTGGGCCCTTTTCTTCAGAGATGGCTCTCGGAGTGCCACTTTTAAGAGCAAGAGTAACGCTATAGTTTATAATTACTTCTACAAAATTGTACTAAACTTAGTTAAATTTAACGATACATAGTGATTATTACAATAACTTAATTACTAGAAAAATCCAAACCTTCTATGATTTATTATAAAATACATTATTGTTCTAATATAAAATTATTTATTGGTTATTTGGTGACTAAAAAGATGCGCATTATAATAACTTACAAAATTCATGAAAATCTATTTAATATTACGGATATTTTCGATGGGAAAAAAAAGATAAATTGCTTTTTATGAGCTCCTTCCATTATCAGCGCGATAACGCTTCACGATGTATACGCGATGATCGTAGGCTCCTGCCAACACATGCACGTGAGACAAAGCAGGATAGAGCGTTGATTGTAAGGCCGAGTACGCAGGCTCGGGCCACTATCAAAGTTTAAACAATTTATTTCGAACGCGTTTTCATCGTGGGAAATCAGGAAGGTTCCCACTCCGTTCGTCATATTTAATAATTGAATTAATCAAAAAAAAACTAAGTTACGGCAAGCCGTCACAAAGGCATATCAGATAGTTGATATAACCTAAAACACTAGCTGTTTCAGTGCAGGAACAAGATTGTCATTTATTTTTAATAATAAATAAATTTTTTTTTCATAAATAAGTGTATTTGGCTCTTTGAAAATTCAGTGGCGGTTCAAAAACATGGATTGCGTTATTTATAATTATTAATAAATTTTCGTCCATTTTTTCTAATTTTAGGTTAAGAGCATCTTGACTAACAATCATAATCAGTCGCGATGTCGCCGTCAAGCGGTGCGGAAGTGCAACCGCCTGACGCATCATCACTACATAAGCATTTCAAGTGTCATCCAAATACAAAAGTAGGAGCAGTTGTGTGTTTAGTATGTGGAAATTTCTATCATACGAGTGAAATAGTAGCAAAAATCAATGCAGGAAATGCAATCAAACTAATAAATAGCTCATTCATAATATGCCAGGAGCATCCAAATTTTGCACTAACATCACACTTGCCATATGGGGACTTAAGTGAACAAGCTAGTGCTTTCATAACACAATTCAAACTTGTAAGCAGAGAGGAAATAAAACAAGAAATACTAAATGAGCTCGTGCATGAGAAACAAATAATGAATGAAAACGATGAACATATGGATTTAACACAAGTAAGTGAATTAGATGAAATACAACAACTAAAAGCTGAAAATAACTTATTGAAAGAACTCTACAAAGAAACAAAGGAAAAAAATGAATTACTACTGAAACATGGAATTTACAACATTTCCTAGTCTTCAATATTGAAGGATACAGTATGTACTATAACAATAGTAGTATTAATAAGGCTGATGGCGTGGTGACCTATATCAGAGACGACATAATTGAATCAACAGAAATAATTCAAATACAAAATTTAAAAATTTTACAAACTACAATACAGTTAGAAAATGAAAAAACTATACTGTTAGCAGCTATATACAGATCACATGACCTACACAAACCACAATTCATACAATCGATCAAAACATACATAACTCAACACATAAAGAAAAAAAATTCAATATTAATAGGCGATTTCAACTGCGACATTTTAAGCCAAGATCCTTGGGATCAAGAATTCTTGCAAATGTTAATGGAAAAAGGACACCATCCAGGATTTAATACGATTACCAGACCTTCACTGGACAACAACAACAGTGGAACATGCATTGATAATTTTTTTATAAAAATGGAAAATAACGTATACAAAACTTTCAACGTCAACACCCCGTTCAATGACCACTATCCACTAATAATGGCGTTGCAGAACCAAACAAAAAGCATAAATCACTCACATAATAAAAAACAAATTAATTACCGAAAACTTCAACATATAGCTCAAACTATAAATTGGAATGAAAATAGTGAAACTAATGATACAAATCAATCTATCAATAACTTAATCATGAAAATACAATATTGCCTTAAACAGGCAGAAAAAAAAATGTCACAAACAAAACTATTAATAGCTTGAAGCCAAGAAAAAAATGGATCACCAAAGGTTTAATAAACTCATGTAAAACTAAAGAAAACCTATATATTGAATGGAAATATAATCCTCACGATACAACAACAAAAAATAACTATAAAAATTTTATCAAAATTTTAGATAAGATAATTACAATAGCAAAAGAAAATTACGATAAAAAAATCATAGAAATGGTGCAACATGATCCTAAGAAATTATGGTCAGTTGTCAACAACAAACTAGGGAGAAATACTCAAAATAACAAAACTATTGATTACATCACGGACAAAAATAATAGAATCACCAATCCAGAAGAAATTGCAAACAAAATGAACACATTTTTTTCTGAAATCGGAACGGAACTCAGCAATAATATAATACAACCGCAAAATGCAACGCTCAACCTCCCAAAAATAAACCCGAAAACAATATTTTTAAATTTTACAAATGAACAAGAAGTAAAGAAAATAATTGGCAGACTAAAAAACAAAAAAGGAGGAGTTGATGGAATTAATTCATTATTATTAAAATCATTAATCCACTACGTATCTGAACCACTTGCACTTGCTATAAATAAGTGCATTATTAATGAAACTTGGCCTGATGCTTTAAAAGAAGCGGATATTATACCAATCCACAAATCAAAAAAAAACATTTAGCAAATAACTACAGACCTATTTCTCTAATCTCCAACATAGCTAAAATCTTTGAAAAAATAATACATAGAAGAATTCAATCTTTCATTGACAACTGTAATTTGCTTTCCACAAATCAATTTGGCTTTCGAAAAAACAGAAGCACAAAACATGCACTAAGTTATATTTCAAACAACATTTATGAACAATTAGATGCAAGTAAACCTATAGCAATAACTTTTCTGGATCTTGCCAAAGCCTTCGACACAGTTGACCACAAGATACTGTTACAAAAATTATACAACTATGGTATTAGGGGTAGTGCCTATAACCTTATCAAAAGCTATCTAACAAATAGAAAACAATGTGTGAAGGTAAATAATGCAAGTAACGATAAACAAATAGTAAAAATGGGTGTTCCACAAGGAACTATACTGGGTCCGCTACTTTTCCTACTATACATATATGATCTACTAACGATACTACCAGAAAAATCCATACTATCTTTTGAAGACGATACAGCAATCATAGCAAAAGGTAAGAATTGGAAAGAAGCTGAAACTAATATGAACAGTTATCTAAAAATAGTGGGAATTTGGCTTGCTCTTAATAAACTATCTTTGAATATAGACAAGACAACGTACATGGAATTTGGAAATTATCATGACAGAACGCCAAAAAACCTGAAAATTGAAATCTTAGGACATCCAATACACCGAGTTGAAAACACAAAATATCTTGGAGTTACTTTTGACAGTAATATGAAATGGGATTTACATCTACAAATCCTATACCAAAAAACAAAATATCTAACATTTGTCCTATATAAGCTATCAAAAATAATGAATACCAGTACATTAAAAATGATCTACTACGCACTCTTTCACAGCATAATGACCTATGGAATTATAGCTTGGGGAGAAGCGTACACAGGTCGAATTAAAGTAATACAAAACTTGCAAAACAGACTACTAAAAATAATCTATAAAAACCAATTTGTGACACATGAATACCCACTTAACTTAGATCAATGCTTTTCATTGGAATCTCTATTATTCCACTACGATACTTTTAAGGACAAATATATTGGAAAAGAAAGAAAAACAAGATTCGCCTCAATCCAACACCCAAAAAGAACACTAACTATCAGCATAAAAAACAGTAATGTAAGAGCAATTATGTTATACAATAAACTACCAAATGACTTGAAAACAATTAACAACACGACAACTAGGAAAAACAAACTTAAAAAATGGATCAAAGGAAACCCAATATGGCAAATAGATTAAACTGCAAAAATATAAAACAATTAATTGATCTCTATGGTACTCTGTATCTGACATCGGAAGTCCATGAGGATGCAGTAGACCACAACAAATTAATACTAGATATTAGAACATTTATTTGTGCAAATAACAATTGCAATTTATCTCCAGCAAGATTAACAAACTTAGAATGTGTCATCTACAAAAGAACCATGAATGCAACAACAGGATATTTCACTACAGCCAGACAGATGCTAAATAGAACATGGGATTAAAATAATAAATCATGAATATCTTTATACAAATTATTAATTAGTTTTAAGTATTAGTATTAGTTTATTAAACATGCCAGACCAGCGCACAGGAAGAAATTCCTCTGCTGGATTACATGTAATGTAATGTAATTGTATATTATTAATCATTATTAATGTATATTTACTCTGGACTTAAATAAATAAAATAAATAAATTATTTTTTTGCAAATAACTTCATACGTCTTCACGAAAACCATGTGGCGGTTCTAAAACACAGATTGAGTTATCAGTAGCTCTCAAGTGTTTTAGAACGGCCATATCTGATCTACTAACTGTACCAGATAGAATAAATTCTAAATTCAAACTAAAAAAGTTTAATTTATTACTTACCTAAAAACGTTGTGCAAGGAGAATGGTAGATTAAATAATCTTTATTGGAGCACCAGGGCGGAAATTCATTCTGTTTCATAGGTTTTACAGAATTCATGTCTTCTTCTCTTTTCCAAGGTAGCACAGTTTCAGTAACGGTAGGAGTAACGTCCTTGCATGATTCGCCTGTAAATAAAATCCACATTAAAGATTTTGGCGATATATCTATTTAAAATCTATATATTGATTTTATTTTCTTCAATTTTCTTTTCCTTTTTCTTGATTTAATTTTATTTCAATCAATAACATTGTATTGACTTAATAAATAGAATAACGTTACTACATAGATTATTTTGTTCAATTTCGACTTGCTGGTCTGATAATTCATGTAGGAGGATAATATTACGCTATAAAATTGCGGTTGTAATCTAAAAATATTAACGTATTTATAATAATTCATTATTTTTTGCATACCTTAGTATATTATTAATACAATTTTGTTATCTATGTACTATACACTATTATATTTGTCAACGATTAACTTATTGTCAATAATAATTGATGACTCATTAAGGATAGGCAGACTAAATCACATGACACTCTATACAATATTACATATTAAAGCTTTATTGTTATCACCATTCCATCCAGCATTTTCAGCGATAGAGCTCTGACATGGATTGAGTGAAAGACAATTTTTCATGAAGCTCGTTAAGACTACATTTTTCACTTTATGAATTTCAATAGCATTTATTTCATATCGTATTTTCTCAAACAAATGACAGAGGGCGTTGTTGACTAATAAGGTGTTCTCCACTGGCGTAGTACCGTCTGGTTTGATCAATCGACCACAAATATGAATCCTACGGTGTGATGGAAGCAGAGATAAATCTTGATGTTGAATTGCTATATGGATTTCATCGCTATTATTGAAATATGATAATGAATAAGGCGGATGCGCATGAACTTTATAATGAGCTATAGACTCATTGAAAGCGATAGCTGAATGAATGTCTAGAATTTCCTCCATATTGTTGTTGTTATTTTATACAGCACACTAATATGCACAATATTTTCTTCCACGATTTTCGACGACGTTTAGTCTCAAGCTTTTCAGGAATTGAATGTTCTGAGGTGTGAGCGGTCTGATAGCTTGCTGTTGACTGGTTGCTGATTAACATTTTTGTCCTTTAATATAGCCTCGACCGATCTTTATATTGTAAATGATACCCATTACTAAGATATGGTCTTACGTACTCCCATTGTGACGGCTTCTCCTCGAAAGTTAACTAGGTTTCCGTCTTGATAAACTATCCGAATTTGAAAATGATCAATGCTCCTCACAGCGACTGGAAGGTAAATGACGTGAGAGGGAACTTCTATAACCTTATATCCAGATGGAACTGCTAGGAAAAATTCATATATAGTATGTACTTTACGATAATTTATGTAAGAGCCTGTAGTAATATTACACTCTACACGTAAAGCGTTGACTTTGAGTATAGTGACGGGTAAGTCAGAACTATGTGTTTCGTTTTCAACGAGCGTGCGTTTAGTGAAGCCTAAAATTGATCCAATAGAATCTTCTGGTTCAAAGTGTATTTTTTGACTGCACTGAATGATACTACGTAAAGTATTATTATTTGGTTTCAGGCTAAACGATATACCTTTAGGTGCTAATGCTTCTTTGAGAAAGCTTTCAATATCTTCTATTTTGTAGCTACCAGTCGGTAAAGTGATAGCTTCTTGATCTTCAATGTAAAATTTATTATAACCAACGTCAGTGTTTGGTATTGAATTAAATGTTAATAGCTCAACTAGACCAAGAACGTATTTTTTGTTCGGTATCAATTCGATCGGCGGAAAATAATATGTTTCAAGTACGGATGATATTTCCGAGACACTCAATATCAGTGTATTCTCCATAAAAGATTCATATCAAATAATAGTCATTCATTGAATGAGTATTTTTAATACTAGTTGTCTTTTCTATAGTTTGTTTAAAAGAAATTTGAGACAAAGATGGCCGCAATTGTAAGTATTAAAATCTTGATATCTAATATAATAATACATGATTCTATTAACTTTGAGATAAAGCAATAGATCTATAAGCCGTTGTAGATTACCAAAACTATCAAAATACATAACCTCATCACCTTTCTTTTTATATTCTAACTAATGAATACCTGGTCCACGTTTATCATCTAAATTTATAATAGCGGTCTCTTGATATCAGGGTCCATCAGCTGGTAGAGCATCACGCATGAAAACACCTCGAAAATTTGCAATTTTTAGTATTGTATTTTAGCATATTTTCTTATATCATGGTCTGTCAGTGCTCGATTAGGTAAAGTTACTTCGAGCTTTTTCTTTAAACATTTTCCACTTGAATATGGTTTCTGATGAAGACCATAACCTTTACGATGTGGTTTCAAATAAAGTCCTTTACCAATACCAATAGCTTCCATAGTGTTATTGTATCTATGAGCTTTTTTCAATTGATTTTGAGCGGCCTTAGCACTGCTAACGGCTTTTGCTATAGAAGCAGCTCCTCCAGCTAGAGCTCCAGTGTCGCTCAAAGCGGTAAATAATGGAATTAAAAAAAAGAGCTCCACCCACTTTACTAGGAATTGGTAGAATACGAGGTATATTTATTTTTCTTCTTCCTCCAGCCTTCTTCACAGCTTCTTTAGCGCCTTTTATAGCCGCACGAATGACGAAGAGGGATTTATTACTAGCTACAATACTTCTTGAGGCAGCGTTAATAATTTGTTTCAATGCAATTGATACATTTTTATTTTTTACATGTGTCTTTTGTCGCTGTCGGTGTTGTTGACGATTATTTAATCCCTTACCTCGTTTCTTTCCTCGTTTTAAAATTATAACACCCAATCCAAGTTTATTTTTAATTTTCATTATGTTGGCTACAGCAAACGCAGCAACTTTCTCACCAAAACTACTATCTTTCGCTTGTACTCTATCGCAGGTCTGTTCAGCTAGAATTTTATCGGCTTCGTTTCTCGCCTCAATGTTTTCTCGATTCTGAGAATAAGCAATATCGTGATCTTTACAAGCAGCGTCTAGCGGATTTATTCCAGGATCACCACGAGCAAGTCGTTTTTGCAATTTAGTTTCCAGCACACAATACTGATAACCAGGCAAATGAGCTTCGAATTGTAAGTTATTAATGATCTTATTCACTAAGCCAGTACCACCAGTCTTTCTTTTGTGACAAATGATCGTACCTCATCAGAAGACAAAGTCTCAATAAAACTAAAAAATATATAAACAGTCTTTTTATAGTTAGTAGTCTCATTCAACGTTCGATCGGTGACTAGAAAATAATATGGACTTCAAAGAACAACCACTTAAGTTGCAAGTCATAAATTTTGATAGTATTAAAACAGTCTTTGTGCATGACTATCACAGAGGTAAAAGGGAAACATATATTTAGGAGTTAAGAAGAAGAAAAAAAAAAAAAGGATTATAAGTACGTTTGTCTAATGTATAAGTTGGCAATCAGGGAGAGCGACAGCAGCGCCACCATTATACGTGTTCTTCTGGACACGGCATGTATGCTAGGAGGTGAGTCGAGCCTATGATCTCGTGTTGGTCGGAGCATTACCGGTTCTCTCCACGATTGAGTACAAAGAGTGGTCTTATATAGATATATATACATATATGTAAATACATATATCTTTTCTCTGTCATCTACAAGTGTATTCCGCCAACCTCACAATCAATAAAGTTCTTACATTAACCGCATCCGTCTGCCTTTCTTTGGTTCTTTCCGTTTGCGAAGGTAAACCAAATAACCGATTAAAATTTTTAAAAGGTTATGGGCCCAGGCCGCGTGTCGCGTGTGCAAGTGTGAACTCTTTTTTGTGTGGTGTTAATATCAATGGCAAATAACACTGAGATGGAGTCAATTTCGAAAATTGAAAAACTGAGAGACAAGGATAACTGGAGTCGATGGCTTTTTGTGGTGCGCACGTATCTTGAAGATGACGACGACCAATTGGCGGTTTGTGAAGGCGATCTGATGATGCCCAAACCTCTTTCCGTGGAAGCCACCGACACGCAGCAAGCAACGTTTAATGCTGCTGCAGCTAAGTTCAAAAAGGCGGACAAGGCTGCACGGAAGTTAATTGTCTCGACAGTTGAGAAAAGACCGTTAGATCTCCTGATGAACTGTACAACCGCTCGGCAGATGTGGACCAAGTTGAACGCAGTATACGAGATGAAGTCGGATGAAAACTTGTCATTGCTGCAAAAGAAATTCTTTGAATTCAAATGGGATAAAAGTGAGAGTGCCGTGGTAAATCTTTCCAAGATAGAAAATCTTGCACTTAGGATGAAAAATTCGGGTGGTGAAATATCGGAATCAATGGTGTTAACCCGGATTTTATGTTGCCTTCCAAAGGAATTTAATCACTTTCATAGCGCCTGGGACTCCGAAATAAAAGAGAAGAAAACTCTAGAAAATCTAACCGCAAGATTGATGACAGAAGAGTCAAGAGTGGATAACTACGGAGAGAATTCGGAGGATCAAGCGATCGCATTGGTTTCCAAGCAAACCAAGAGCTTGAGTTTCTCAAAATTGCACAACAAGAAGGGCAATCAGAAGAAATACAAGTATGGGAATTCAAGACGCGGTAACTGTTACAAGTGTCACTCTCCGAATCACTATTTACGCGACTGTCCGAAGAGATTTCAAGGAAACAATACAGAGACGAAATCAACAACAAACAACTGTGAGGAGAAGATCGCCCTTGCCGGTTTTAAGCATGATCAGAAGAAGACGGCCATGTGGATACTCGATTCCGGGAGCACGGATCACATGACCTGGCGACGAGACTACTTTTCGAGCTATACCGAATACGAAGAGCGAGTTCCTGTAACTTTTGGAGATGGAAGCATGCAGTCTGCATATGGGTATGGGAATATAAACATAGAAACACTATTTGCGGATAAGCGTGTGAGCTGTGTGTTATATGATGTTTTATTTATACCTACGCTACGTGTCAATTTGCTTTCATTAAAGGCCTGTACTAAAAAGGGAATTGACCTTGAAGTTACAAATAATGGGAAAGTCTGTACCTTGCTTAAAAATAATGTAGTCATTGCAACTTGTTCCGAAGCGGGTAATCTGTATAAAGTCGATTTAGAAGTAGTAATGCCTGAAA